TTTCTTTCTTTCTTTCTTTCTTTCTTTCTTTCTTTCTTTCTTTCTTTCTTTCTTTCTTTCCTTCTTTCTTGCTTTGTTTTTTTTAGACGAGTAGGGTTGGCTTAATAAAACTCTGGTTTTTGTTTTTTCTTGTGGAGCCACAGAAGACTTTCCTCTGGTTTTCTTACCAATATATTTTGTGCATAATATACTGTATGACTAGAAGTGGCATTTCTTATGTGAAAACGTCTTTCATGGTAACATGGGCACACGACTGAAAAAGAAATGTATTTATCTTACCCATTATCTTCTCATGTACTGTAAATCTCATCTCATTATTTTGCATGCAATCCATTCTGGTCCCATGACAAAGTATAGACGTTTTTTTGTGTTTTTTTCCACGCACAGGGACGTTCAATCAGCACTTAAGGTCTTTTTGCATTAGTGAAGGCCATGCATGGTGCAGCTGATAAATATGGCTCTCATAATTGTCATCGAGACGAATACCAGAACCCTGGAATCACCTCGTAAACTTTACTTCCAGGTTGTTTAAATCAAGATTATTTTGTGCCATATCAAATGCCTCATGCATTTTCCTCACAGAGAAATGTCATGTGGTAAAGTTTGAACGGATAGGAGTGTGGGGCTTTTTGTAACACAGTTAAAAAGGAGAGTAAAAAAAGCAAAGCTTTTTTTAAGCATTATTACAAGAGCTCTACACTTTAGATGGTTTTACCTTATGACTGACAGTCGTCGTTAAATAATGAAGTAACTGGTCAGAAAAATGCAAGGGACAGCGTTTAGAGTTGAAAATGTAAAGACAAATATTTCCAACTCTGGCACTGTGGGTTTTGTTAGACTGTGGAAATTTGTCATTTGAAATTCAACTGTGAGCCAATAAAGACGTGTCCTGCAGGCTCAATAACTTTGTAATGCCTCACTTGTCAGGCTATTAAATGTTAAAGAATGGACAAACCTATGCCAAGCGTCTTGGAAATGAAACTGCGTATGTAAGCCATCAGTCAATACATAATTGTTTAAAATCTTGTTGTGTTGTGTTTTTATTTGTCTATAGTTAGGTCAGTGCTCTGTTGAAAACATTTAGAGGTGTAATCCTAAAAACCTTATTGGATCTTGGAGACTTTTAATTTATAATCTGAAATGCTTCTTCAGCTCTAAAGTACTAGGTGGGGAGTGTCGAAGGTCGTTAAAGTCTGAACTCCGGGCCAATGAGAGTTATCATTCTCATTCCTGAAGAAGCCTTTCAGATCAGAGGTGAAATTTCTTCAAATTCCAGGAAGAGTTGGAGTTGCCTTTACTCAAACTCTTGGGATTACCATGACCTGGACGACTGACAATATACATCAAGACTTAAAGATGCAATTAATGCAAAAAACCTACATGGAAAGCATTACAAAGCCCCTCTGTCATTTACTGTAATGACGTTTTGATGAAATACAATGCGATGTTTCAGCTCTATCTCCCTCTACGTGTTAAGCGCACAAAGTCACGGGATTTGCTTCGCAAGCAGTCTTTCCGTGACGTAAAAAGGGCCTGATTTGGACTGAAATCAGCATAATGGCTGAGCGCTGTCCAGTGTTTACATGATAGCACCGCGTGGTTTCCCCGGGCCCCGCCCCCCCCGGCGCTGACGCGTTGACGTCACGGGAGCGTAAGGTGCTGGGCTGGAGCATTCGCTGCGATGGCGACGACGGCTCCGCGCTGGAAGGGGACGCAGTGAAGCTGGCCTCGGCTTGGATATGACGAATGTCTTTTTCATCGAGATCGGTTTGCTGCTTAGTTTTTGCATGGGCTTCGGGTGACTCTTCGGGCTCCGACTTCTCAACGACTGCTTTTATCCGGGTGAGTCCGCCGGGTTCTCTCGGTCCTCGGTGTGTTTTGACAGAGGCCTCCGTGACGGGGTCCGCCCTCCATCTCATAACAACAAAAACAGTTGCTAGCACGGCCAGCTAATGCTAACCCGCCAGCTTACTGTCTGCTCTGTGACACGGAGACTAATGCCAAACACTGAGTGGGAAGAGATTGCAACACAACCGCACGCTTCTTACTAAGGCTATTTTCAGCCTATATGGCCACTTTGGACTAAGCTTCAGCTCGGTCGCATTACTTTTCTCTCCGGCTAAGACCGGGGGACGCTAGCTGGTTGAATGTTGACGTTATCGCTTGATAGCTTCATGGATAGCTTACGTTAAAATAAGGAAAACACAGCTGTTTAATTACCACTAGCGTCGTGCATACTTTGCATTTGCAACAAACAATCAGCCTGTTAGCATAAGTGTGTCTTGAGAAAATTAAAAAATTTAGTTGGTGACGTTATGTTGCAACTATACTCTTGCTAGCAAATAGTAATACTACTTGAGAGGGAAGCGTTGACTTTTAACAATATCCATCACATATATTTCCTCCATAAATGGGTGTTTTTTCAACGCAATGTGAAATGACAGTTTTATGGGATCGATTGACGTTTTGAAACCACAGTGGCTAAACGACAAGCTAGCCAAAAGACTGTCCGGTGTAGCTGCTTGGCCGTGAACTCACCACCCCAGTAAATATGGCGTTTTTCCCCAAAACTTTTCGACATCACCGAGCGAGCCGTGGCTCGCTGAAGTCCCGGGCTGTGGTGTGTGCTGGCGTGTCACGGGACAGGGGTTACGTTAGGGCTCAAACGGGCTTAGCCCTCCGTTTGTGAGCCGGTGGACTCGGGTTTGGGGCCCGCTGCAGTGAATGGAGGCGTGTCGGGAGCAGATATGCTTTATCAGGCAGCGCCAGCTTTAAAAGCCGGACTCCACATTCAGAGAACTTATGACTTCCCCCACTTTCTTTTTTGACCATTTCTTAACACTCAAAGATTTAGGCATGTATGTTGCAGGTTAAAAGAGATTTTGTCTTTTTAAATGATCCTGACAAGGTGTGTCTAGTCCAGGGGAGGGCTACTCAAGGCCTCAAGGGCTGCTCTCCTGCAGGTTTCAAAGGTTTCCCTGGTTCTACACACCTGATTCACATAAATGCTGATGTGAATCAGGTGTGTAGAAGCAGAGAAACCTCTGAAACCTGCAGGACAGCGGCTCTCGGGGCCTGGAGTTGCCCACCCCTGGTCTAGTCCCTGAATGTCCCATTCATCGACCCCTCCTATATCCAATTTCAGTTGCTTGCAAGAGTGGCTGATCTTTCCTACTATTTGTTTGTCAGCATGAGGAGATACTTCAGGCTCTTTAAAAAAAAAAAAAAGAATTGTGGTGATAACACTTATTAAACCTCCTAAAAAGCAGTGGTTGAAATCCACAACTTGCTAGTGTTGACGGCCTCTCGTTGTTCTTTCCATGCAATACCAGGGTATGCTTGATGGGAAGTTAATAGCAGCCTTTTAAGCTGGTATCCAGACATTACTGGGACTTTTAGTCACAATCACTTGTGAACTGTGAATCGCTCAACTGTATACATCAGCGTGGATCCATATAAAGGAGTGAGAGTGTGAGCTTTAAAGCGCTCTGAGATGGGACCGGCTTCCCCTCGCGCCCACATCTGGGTTTAGGTTAGCCGCATCTCTCGGCTCACTTAGCAGCCAGCGTGACCACCGGGACGTCTATGTTTGCTGGGAAATCAAAAGGGCTCCTGTTCGCTGCCTATCTCTGTAAATATGTCCTCTGTCTGCTGAATATGGCCACGTCTGAAAGCAGAGGCCCTTTTTTCTCATCAATCCTTTTTCAAATTCCACAGATTTCCATGTCTTACCTGTGAGTTTCCAAACACAATCAACAGGACTGCTTCTCGTCCATCGCTGGTAGTCTGTGGTAAGTTTTTTTTGTGTGTGTGTGTTTGTTTGTTATTTGTGTCGTATTCTCTGGTGCTGTTTGGAATGTGACCACTCATCCGAAGCTCCCAGTCTGCTTGTCAATCATCGGCTGCTGATAGTCAGTTGCCTGGAAACATTTCAGAAGGACGCCTTTCCTCAAACCGCTCCTCTAACCCCTTTCCAGAGAAAGCGGTTGCATCTTCGGATGTTGTTTATGAGTGTTTTTGTCCTCCTATTGTCAAGCTTTTGCTTGCACTTGTGAATATTACAACAAAGGACGCAGTGGGAGCAGCGATTCCCACAACAGAATTATGTCTGTTTTTAATTTCAGCGCCGCCCGAGGGCCTGTAAATCACAGCTGCTTTGTGCTTGTTCCCGGCTCGTTCTCCCAGATTCTCTGAATCATTTCATTCCATCCAGCACAGATATTGCAACGGCCAAATAATTCTCAGTTTCATATATTCTTCAAGACCCAGCTAGGATCATTTAGTGCGTAATCTGCTGTCATCGCTGTGGAATTGAGCTAAAATAAGAAATTTACACCTCAGCCAACTTTACTGGAGAAAGAAAAAGTTTCTGCCGTTATTAATTTTTCATATTTCCAGGGCTGTTTTATCCCCTTTAAGCCCGACTCAAAAAGTGCTTTTCTACTGTTTTTAAAGTCATGATTTTTGTTTCCAGACATAAACAAAGAAATTCATTAGGGCTCAGTGATGGTTATCCTCTTATACAGTCACATTTTCTGTATTTTTCTCCCCTCTGAGCTTTGATCAGCTGAGCGTTTTCTTCGTTTTCTTATTCAGAGTGGACAGTAAAGAGGTGAGCTGAGTTGATAAGATTAGAAATTGACGCCACAGCATCCCTGACCCAAGTTGATTGGGAAAACTTGTGGTTTGTGTCGTAACTGTTTGGCTTCCTCTGTGTCGGCATAAACATGTCGACAGATTATGAGACTTTAGCAGTGCGAGGAGCAGTGAAATAAAGCTCCAGCGCCACTCCGTTCTGATCCGTTCCTGCTGAAAGCTGAATGCAGAAGGTCTGTTTATGGTGGTCTGGAGCGGCTGAATCATTGCTGGGGAACAAAATGACCTGAAAAATGCGCTGACAGAGAAACCTTTCAGTCCACACGTCCCTTCATTCCTGGGATTTAAACTGGGATTGAACAACCTGAAAGAGGAAGGCGGCCGCTTTAAGCACGTTGACTCACAGATACTGAACTACTGCAATTTCCCATTCTGTGTCTCGTTTCTTTTCAGACTGATTTGGGCCCGAGTTCCTGGTTGGGTGACCCACACTCCTTCACAGGGGCCATGGTGAGTACCCCCCCCACCCCTGGTGCCTGCCCGGGCCCATATCTGCTGTGTCCTGTGGCCCGGCCGCGTCCGGCATTGATTATTACTTTTAATCTGCTGCTAAACAGGAAGCGGGGCCTTCCAAAGGTCCTCTGAGGCTGCTGTGGGAGCCGGGCAGCTTCCAGTTCGCCCCACTGGCTTGTTGTGTTGCGACAGTGGCGCTGATGGGATGCGTTTGTGTGGCTGTGCTTATGCTGAGCCAGCGTGTTGCAGGATGCGCTCCCACTGCCTCCCATCTCCGAACCTCTAGTCGCTCTTTGTGTGGCGTTTAGCCTAAAGTCTCCTAAAAAAACACGCACGTCATTTATTTTCCACCCCTTTGCCCTCGAGGAAAAATCTTCAACTCCGCCTGTGTATCCGTGCCTCTCATTCCTCTCTGAGATGCTTCCTTTTAAGAGAGTTTTTTCTCCATTTCCTCACTTTCTGCCAATCAGACCTTTGATTAAGAGTTCTTTCTTTCCAGGGTTTAATGCAAATGAATAGTTTTGAGCTCTGTTAATGATTTTTCCACTCTGTACAGTGTGGCTTTTGTCCAGGGACTGATAACAGTAAATTATCCTGTTAGAGCCTCACAGCGTGGGTTGAAAAGGAGAAAAAACCTGCTTTTCATGTCCGTCACAAATTGCGATGACTAAGTGACACTTTGCCCGAGACGGCGCTGAGTTTGTAAAAGATGTTTAAAAACTCTGGGGCCAAAAAAGTTTGTGACAGAGAGGGTTGTCGTTGTTAGAGCTAACCTGGACATAAATGGACCTTCTGTGTGCAGGAGGAGGAGGGGCAGAAGAGCCTGGAGTGTATCCAGGCCAATCAGATCTTCCCCAAGAAGTCCCCCGTCCTGGAGGAGGAGAACATGCAGGTCAGCCCGCCGCCGCCGCTGAGAATGGCCTCACGTAGTCGGCCGCTGTTGCATTTGCATGGTTGGAGTCTGGAGATGTTGTTCTTCCCCCTGCTGTTGCCAGGTGCCCTTTCCCGAGCTGCATGGCGAGTTCACAGAGTACGTGGGGCGAGCGGAGGACGCCATCATCGCCACGTCCAACTACCGCCTGCACATAAAGTTCAAAGAGTCCGTCGTCAACGTGAGTAAAGAGCGCAAGCTCACAACCTGCCGGATTCTCAGAGCTGGTCTCCTCGTGGTTCCCTGTCACATCCCGTTTTCCCTCACCCTCCTTCCCTTCCGCCTCCTCTCCACACTTGCTGTTGCCATGGTTGCAGCCGCTCCGAAGGGGGATGCGTCTCCTCTCACCATAGGAGGATCCGACTTTAGCTTTGCTACCAAGAAAAAACAAAACCTTTACCTCTCCGCTCATAATTCAATTCAACCGGAGCCTTCTGCTTCGAAAAAATAATAACACAAATTGTGCTTTTTTCGTAATAAATTCTAGCTTGTGGAGTTGTGAAAGGAGGTGGCCACTGAACCGTTTTCTGCCCCTAGAAGCTGTGTAATAGCAGTGTAATATCCCTCTTTTTGTTGCTTTTAAACTGTAAATTTGCCATGATTTGATAAAAGAATCACTTCATAGATGCCCTGAGCCTCGGTAATCTATGCTAGGATCACATGCTCTTCCTCTGCTGGTGTGCTGGAGAGGGGAAATTGTGCAATTACCGATCACGTGTTGCGAGGAGGGGAAGCTTTCTCTTCCGGCTCTTAAAAAGTTTGCTATGCCATTGAGTTAATAACATCCACTGGTTAGTTTGGGGGTGTTTCTATGTTGGGCCGCATTGAAAAGTTGATTCGAATTAAACCTTGTTGCTCGGAGGCCACAAAAAACCAAAGCACTGGCTGTCGACTCGCTCTTTCATCATGATAAAGTTGAGGTGTTGCGTTTGGCCTCAGTCCTGCAAATAAACTGTTTATATTCATTGGTTTATTTATTCCTGTAGGAAGATATCATAATTTCTGGGCTTCTTACTTTTGCGCCCTTTGCCGGATTCATCCATTTAAATTGAGCCTCGGTTATCTGTCATCTGCCCTTTGCATCCAAACCTGTCAGAGAATTACCTGATTTAAATAGATATGTTCTCAGGAGAGAGAGTCCTCCTTATGCTGCAGTTTTTATGCAAATTGTAACCAAAATCCCCACATATTGCTTCTGAATTGAACACTTGCGTCTCACTCGGTGCCTCAGCGTTGTGCATGCCGGTTGTTGCTGATTTTCAAGTCTGATTCTCTTTATAACTTCTGAGAGGGGAAACGAGTTTCCTGTGGCCATTACAAAGGATTAAAGCAGGTGGTTTTAGTGTGACTGTGCTAAAGTTTAAAAACACATGTGAAACTATGGTTCGAAAACATTATAAAACTAAAGATCTAATGTGACACATTTAAAACAAGCACAAATGGATAGCTAGAGTCTGGAGCTTCGTTTTTTAGGCTCTAGGGTTGCCGGCATGTTTTATTTGGCCGCAGGAAGACAGTTCTTAGATAGTGAGAATTAGCACATTGTTGCACGCTCAGCTGCTAAAAAGGGGAGTTTTGGTTCCAGAAGAAGAGTTCTCAGCTGGTTTTCTTTGCAGAGGAGATGGAAAATATTCCCATCAATGTGGCAAACTGGTCGGTTTATGTAATCTCTGTACGTTTCATCTGTCTTTGGCATGTTGTTGTGGTCGGTAGAACCCTCCAGCTGCTAACTCGCACATATTTACCTATTCCTTTGGAGGTGTGGGGAGGTCACAAGTCACAGATCAGTGGTGGGAGCAAGAAGCAGTCAGAAAGAAGCTCAGGAATTCTGCTGGTGGTCAGATTAGGGATGTAAAGTGGGAGTGAAGATGCTAAAACATCTGGAATGTGTGGCGACAGCAGCCAGACGGGACCTCGGCCTCATGGTTGTTCTCTCTGTTTTCTTTTCGGATAGACTTGTTGTTGCGAGGTGTCTGTAAGTACCCAGCGGAGCTGCACGGAGTGGAGTGCCTGCCTGTTAACTAACCGGCGCCTCGGGGACTGACGTCCTCTTTGTTTAACGGCAGATTCTGGCTTAAAGTAGATCCTATCTAAGATGTGATTGGCCGTCCATGCAAAACTTCCCACTGAATCTGCAAAGGGCTGGACCCTTTGTGTTTGTGCACCGACCGTCTGGGGAATGGTGCATGACTCCTGACTGTGCCAGCGTCAGCTTGAGCCATGCCTCCCACCCACGCCCACTACGCCTCCGAGGAGGGCTCTTAACTCATTAACAGAGCTTATTGGAAAGCCACAGCCGCCTTCCCCAAAGCTTAGGAGCCCAGGACGCTCTGGCCCTCTGGAGGCTATACAGATATGAGCACAGGGAAACGCAGAGCTATTGTCGGGTGGTTCTGTGCGCCCATACGCAGAGTTAAGAGGATTATTTATATTCAGAGGGAGCAGTGATGTGAATACTAGTGGACGTTCTGGTGGACTAACCTGATAAGTCTCCTGTCCACCACTTTTCCCACCTCGTCCTGACTGCATGAGCTCGGTTTTGACGTGTCTAACATGCACTCCGTTTAGGTGCTCAGATCAGTGATTTGCATGCCTGAGAGAAGCTGAGGTGCTGTGTTTTTTGTTGTTTGTTGGATGTGGGTGTCCACATGCATAGGTCCCCCTCCAGCTGATCGAGAACGTGGAGTGTCGGGACATGTTCCAGCTTCACGTCACCTGCAAGGACTGCAAAGTCGTCAGGTAAGAGCTCTTCTTCTCCATGACTCAACAAGTAAAAGCAACCGGGTTTTACTTTTTCTCAGCATGTTAGTGTATCATATGTCTGTCAGAGCCGATCCAAATGGGCCCCAGAAGGTTTCCTCACTAAGGAAACCAGCATGTTAAAGATTATTTAAGTCAGTCTGTCCTGAGTTTATCTTAGTTATTTATGGGGAACTCATGTAATCCTGAAGGTTTTAGTAAAGGCAGCAGGATTTATTCTTCTTGGATCTTGAAGGAGCTGGTCCTCCCACCTTGCAGTTCAGACCTTAGAGAGAAGAAAAATAAATCCAGCTGCTTTTAGTGGCACTCTTTGGAAATGTCTGGGCTTCGGATTTGATTTGGAAGTGGACAGAATAGTTGGATGTCCTCGTATCAAGGCCTTTCTGGGGGTCACGCTGTCTTGTTGCATCCCCAGGTGTCAGTTCTCCACCTTTGAGCAGTGTCAGGAGTGGCTCAAGCGCTTAAACGTGGTGGTGCGCCCCCCCTCCCGTCTGGAGGACCTTTTCTCCTTCGCCTTCCACGCCTGGTGCATGGATGTGTACGCCGGCGAGAAGGAGCAGCACGGCGAGCTGTGCCGGCCAGGTGTGTGCCCCCCCCCCCCAGAGGCCCCCCCAACACAATCCCCTCCCGTCTGAGCTTATCGGGCATCTCTGCTGTCTCTGCAGGAGAGCACGTGACCTCCTGGTTCAAGAACGAGGTGGAGAGGATGGGCTTCGACACTCAAAACGCCTGGCGGATCTCCGACATCAACAGCAAGTTCAGGTGACTCCCGCCCCCCCTCCCTCACAGCACCAAACAGTGTTCACTCTGGCCAGTGCCATTGTTCCGGTGCTGCCGACTGGCCCGATAGAGCCAGGATCAGGTGTCTGTTGACAGAACCCCGCCTAACACTGCCGCCTCTGGTCCCAACAGGCTGTGCCCCAGCTATCCCCAGCAGCTCCTGGTGCCGGCCTGGATCACCGACAAGGAGCTGGAAAACGTGGCCGCCTTCCGCTCCTGGAAGAGGTTTCCTGCCGTGGTCTACAGGTCGGTGTGTTTGCGGCCGCCTGAGCTCCTCAGACCAGACTTTGAACTTGTTTAGTGCCACCACAGAAAGGATGCGTCCACGCCTCCTGCAGGCCTGGTAACAGATCAGTCTTTATGGCTGTGTGTATGGAGAGGGCGTGATGCCAGGGCCTAAAACGAGCCTTCAGAGGCCCAGCAGTCGCTGTTCCAGCTGTTTGACTCTGTTTTGGTGCTATCAAAGCCAGAGATTTAAAATAGCGTGTCGAATCTGTAGTTTTTTTTTTTTAACCCTCCTGTTGTCTTTTGGTCAGTTCAAACTGTTTCCTAAAGTTAACGTGACCTAACTTTGGTTTTCTTCCACATGACTGCCTGAAAATAACACGGATGGGTCCCATTCTGCTCTATTTGCTGCCATTAAAAGACTGAAATGTACGAAGGGAATACCCAGACTAAACCACTCTGTTCAACGTTCGTTCTTATGTTCCTAAAAATAGTCCAAATAATTCTTTATTTCTGACATTTCTATAAAGAATTTGGCATAATTTCCTGTAAATTACATCAATAAAACCATCCGTCCCAGAAATAAATGTAAAATCTGTGCTAATATTAGAGGTGTGTCAAAAGTAAAAGGTGGAACACAGAACTGTGGGATTGTTTTCTATTTCTTAATTTAAAGCGTCTCTATCTGAGAGACGCTCCAAACCAGGGAGAATTCAGTTGGTGAGGGTTTCAGGGTGAAACCTCTGCTTTCCTCTCCCGGCAGGCACCTGAGCACGGGGGCCGTGATCGCCCGCTGCGGCCAGCCGGAGGTCAGCTGGTGGGGCTGGAGGAACGCCGACGACGAGCACCTGGTCCAGTCCATCGCCAAGGCCTGCGCCGTGGACGGCAGCTCCCGCAAACACCTGCTCAACGGCAGCTGCTCCAACGGCTCCGACCTGCCCGACACCGACTTTGGTGAGCGGCCGCCTCCCACTGGGCGCGCTCCTGCCGGCGTGCAGCGGCTGTGCAGCGCCTGGCCGGCTCTGTGACCTGTCGCTCTGCCCACAGAGTCCTCCTTGACCAACAGCTCGGAGGCGGAGACGCTCGCCATCCAGCCCCACAAACTGCTGATCCTGGACGCCAGGTCCTACGCGGCGGCCGTGGCCAACAGGGCCAAGGGTGGCGGCTGCGAGTGCCCAGGTGGGGGTCTGTGAGCTCAGAGGCCCGGCCACAGGTCCGATCGGACCCTGTGCTGAAAATGAAACGCTTTCGAGCACCTCTCTCCTTTTTTGGCTGTGCAGAGTACTACCCCAACTGCGAGGTGGTGTTCATGGGAATGGCAAACATCCACTCCATCCGCAAGAGCTTCCAGTCTCTGCGCTTTCTCTGCACTCAGATGCCCGATCCAGCCAAGTAGGTTTACGCTTGTTCTGAAGCCTCCGTTTCCCTTCACTGCTGCTTAAAGCCCAGCAGGTGGAGGATCTCCTTCCATCTGCGAATCGGTTTAATGTTCTGATCGTAGCTCATCCAATGGGTCATACTCTAATCACCTGCATAGATCTGTGATAGGTTAATTAGATTAGCCAGATAAGACGGGCCAAACGTTTATTTCAGACCTATAACCTTTATCTGCGGGCCAGAAAACGAGCCAAACATCTGTGTTTTTAAGGCCTCGTTGACGTTTTCAGTAGCTGTTTTTTTTTTCACACGCTGTCAGTCAGTCAAAGAAATCTGGAAAAAAATCTCCTTCTGGATCTGTTTCTGTCTCCATTGACCGACTTTGCGATGTGTGGAGCTGAATGTGCAGCCGATGGCCGGTTTGCTCTGGTTCTGATGCTGATGATTCTCTCTTTGCTCGCTGTGGCCTGCAGCTGGCTCTCGGCTCTGGAGAGCACCAAGTGGCTGCAGCACCTGTCGCTGCTGCTGAAGGCGGCGCTGCTTGTGGTCAACGCCGTTGACCGGGACCACCGGCCCGTCCTGGTGCACTGCTCCGACGGCTGGGACCGCACGCCCCAGATAGCTGCCCTGTCCAAGCTGCTGCTGGACCCCTACTACCGCACCATCGAGGTTTGACGGCTCTCCTATGTCGCTCCTCTTATTCTAATCCAGGACCGAGCCTCTAATGGACAGAAAAACCTGTGCCGTCCTCAGGGCTTCCAGGTTCTGGTGGAGACGGAGTGGCTGGACTTTGGCCATAAGTTTGCTGACCGCTGCGGCCACGGGGAGAACTCAGAGGACCTGAACGAGCGCTGCCCGGTCTTCCTGCAGTGGCTGGACTGTGTGCACCAGCTGCAGAGGCAGTTCCCCTGCTCCTTCGAGTTTAACGAGGCCTTCCTGGTGTGGACAAGCTACATTCTTTTGTGTCTGATGCTGCTGGTTTCCTTAGATTTATCACCTCTGTGGGTTTCCCTGTCTCCTGATTGGTACTGATAAGACTTTTTCCCCTGCGGGGGAAATCTCCTCTTCATCTCTGTTATTGTCATGCCAGAGAATTTTGGGATTCTTTTGGTGGGGGGGTTGTGTACAAGCCTCTGCATGTCGGCGTGTGTGTGTGTGTGTGCAGGTGAAGTTGGTGCAGCACACCTACTCCTGTCTGTTCGGCACCTTCCTGTGTAACAGCGGGAAGGAGAGGGAGGACCGCCACGTCCAGGAGAGGACCTGCTCGGTGTGGTCGCTGCTCCGACCAGCCAACAGGACGCTGAGGAACATGCTGTATTCGTCCCACTCCGAGGCCGTACGTCCATTCAAACTACCTTTTAGTTTTTATTCTAAATCCATTTAGTGGCATTGAATGAAGGACGCTTAGATGTTTCAAAAGAAAATAGACTGATCTTCCATAAAAATAAAATTGAAAATGGCTTCTTTTTAATTGTCCACAAGATGGCACTATTTTTACCATCAGAGCATGAAGGAAAATGTCATTTTTCACCGTTTTCTGCTGTAAAAATGCAGGAAAATACGAATTTCTAGCCCAATCATTGACCCATTCCAGGGAGTAAAGTGATTAAATATCACTGTAATTAATTTGAGTGTGTGGAAACTTTTCACCTCATAACACCCCAAAGATAAAAGTTCAAATCAAGCCAGTAAGAATCCAGCTAATTTATATTCAGTGCAATATCCAGTCCAAATCCTTTTGGTTGTAAATTGGTCCAATTCATTAAGAGCCAGTTTTTAAAAAAAGTTGCAGAGCCAAAGAAACCAACAGATTGCACCAAAAACACAGCTGGATTCATTCCCCATCCAGAACATGTGAGCAAGCAGGGCTCCAACTGATGGAAATAAAAATGTATATTTGAGATGTGGATTTGGTTAGTGGCAGCAAAGAAGCCTGAGTCTTGTAAACGGGTGGAATATGTGTAGATTGGATGGTATCTGGCTGTAAATCAGTGCTCAGAGAGCCAAGTGTGAAGCCTAAAATCAGCCGACGGACCCATTCCTGGTTGATTCTGATTCCCGGCTCCTTTTTGCTGCGGCTGCTGTTGTTTCGGTGCCTGTTTGGGCTCAGAGGGGAAGCTCTGTCTGCAGGTTCTGCACCCGGTGTGTCATGTGCGCAACCTGATGCTGTGGACGGCCGTCTACCTGCCCAGCTCCTCGCCGACCACGCCCTCCGACGACTCCTGCGCCCCCTACCCCATGCCTGGTGCCAACCCGGAGGACGCGCCTCTGGGCAGGTGAGCCTGGCCCGCTGGCACTCCACCCCCCCTCACTTCCATGCTCATGTAAGATACACACAAGCTGGGTAGGGGCTCGGCCTCTCTGCTCTGTTTGAATTTCATGCCCCGCCCCTCTTCCTCTAAAAGTGGTTGGGGTTTTGAAGTTAGAGACGCCTCTGTGTCCTGATGCCCAAACTGAGCTGGGGGTAATCTTGGCTCTCTCCTGCCCCCTTCAGATGCACCAAAACTCGGTCGTTCGACAATCTGCCGAGCGCCTGCGAGCTGGGGAGCTCGCTGCCCCCCAACCGGCGCTCCAGCGACCCCAGCCTCAACGAGAAGTGGCAGGACCACCGGCGCTCCCTGGAGCTCAGCATGGCCGTGGGGCCAGAGGCAGGGAGCGGCCCGGATCAGGAGGCCCGGCCCAGCGGGGCGGGGCCGGACCACCAGCTGGAGGACGGCCCGCCGCCCCGGGACCAGGACGCCGCACAGGACGCCCAGGAGGCGGAGCTGTCGGTGCCGGTGGGTGTGGCCGAGGGCCAGATGGAGAATATTCTGCAGGAGGCTAGCAAAGAGGAGGCGGGAGCCGCCCCGCGGAAGGGGAGAAGGGCCTCTGAGGTCCTCAGCCCCCCCGACGTGGAGAAGGAGATGGAGGCAGAGGTCCAGGAGGAGGTCCAGGAGCAGAGGCCAGAGCCCGCCGACGGCCCACCTGCAGAAAACGCGCTGACGGCGCCCGAGGAGGAAGGCGACTCTGAGGCTGACTCGAAAGAGGGTGACTTGAAAGAGGGTGACTCTGAGGAGGCGGACCAGCCGGCGGCCTCCGCAGGCCCGCAGGAGGCCCAGCATGGAACCCCCGAGCCCTCTTTACCCGAGAACAGAACTTTAACCAATGGCTTTGTGGACGGGTCACCCGACTCTGAACACGAGCCCGAGCAGGCCGAGCCGGTGGATAAGAGGGCGTCCCTGATGGAGAGCTCCACAGAGACTCTGACTGAAGAGGCCTGCGGCCGGCCGGAGCCTCCAGCGGCGCCGTCCAGCTGCACGCCCCCCCCGCCATGCAGCGAGGGGGGGACGGACCCCTGCTCCAGGCAGGAGACGGGCGTGGAGACAGGCGTGGAGACGGGCCTAGAGGCGGGCCTAAAGAATGGCCCAGAGAACGGCCCGGAGAACGGCCCAGGGACAGGTCCAGGGACAGGCGAGCACGGCCCGAGCAGGACTCCACACCGGGGCAGCTGGCAGCCCTCCGTCAGTGCCTTACAGCCTGCTGACCCGGGCCGGGACGGGCTCTGCAACGGGGACGGCGCCGACGCCGACCCCAGCGGGGGGGCGCCCTGGCCCAGAGGCGGCGGGGAGCGGGCCCCCCTGAGCCGCCAGGTGTCCCAGGCCAGCTGCAACTCCCTGATCCTCCACCCGCGGGGCAGCTGCTCCCAGCACCGCTGGTGCCACGGCGCCACCGGCCGGGCCGCCGCCAGCCCCGAGCAGCCGTCCCGCAGCCACCTGGACGACGACGGGCTGACCCTGCACACGGACGCCATCCAGCAGCGGCTCAGGCAGATCGAGGCGGGGCACCAGATGGAGGTGGAGACCCTGAAGAAGCAGGTCCAGGAGCTGTGGAGCCGGCTGGAGAACCAGCAGCACGCCGGCTCGCACCGGCTCAACGGCGACACGGGAGACGAAGTGGTAAGGCGGCAACCGCCGGCCCCCGCGGCACCCGGCCGCACGGGCCTGACGGCGGCTGCCTCTGTCTCTCCCGGTGCAGACCTCCATGACCGACTCGGAGTACAACCTGGACCCCAACTGCCTGTCCCGCTGCAGCACCGAGCTCTTCTCAGAGGCCAGCTGGGAGCAGGTGGACAAGCAGGACACTGAGGTGAGCGCTGACCCGATCTGAGGCTAATTCCCGACCCAACACCCCCCCCCAAAACTAGCAAAGTCGCTGTCTGGAACTCCCCTCTGAGTAAATTACCATAAATCAGTCCAATTTACAGCGATTAAAAGGCAGTTTATTATTAAGTTTATTTATTAAGTCCAGTTCAGGAACCCAACAGATTGCTTAGAAAGTTCTCCCTGATCCAAACCCAGTCTTGTGCCAGAACCAGAAGCAAACCTCCATCAGAACCAGAACCATCTCTCTGCACCGGCTTGGGTTTAAGGGAAAGAACCAGCACCGTTAAAGGTAGAGGGGAGGGGGCGGACTGGTGGCAGCTGTTGGGGTTGGAGCTGGAAACCATCCCATCCTCCAGTTGTGATGTCAGCGGTGGCCGGTTCTGGCCGCTCGGGCCTGATTGGGCTGTAAACGCGGGCGTGTGCGTTGCAGGTGACCCGCTGGTACCCCGACCACCTGGCGGCCCAGTGCTACGGCTGTGAGAGCAGGTTCTGGCTGGCGGCCCGGAAGCATCACTGCAGGTAGGCGCCGCCGCCGCCGGCCAGAGAGCCGCCACCCGGAGGCCGCCGCCCACTCCGGGTGGCGCTCTCCTTCCTCTCCCCTGTAAACCATGCCCTCCTCCTGTTCTCAGTGTTTAAGCTGAGGACTGAAATACTGCCCATTCGCTTTCAAACCCGCCGAGGAGCGTCTTAGTTTCACGCTTTTTTTTTTTAACCTGTTAAAAGGTTTAAAATGGGAGTTAGAGCTGATTGGCTGCCTTCGATGTGCCCCCCCCCTCCCCGCCCTTTGAACAGCCTCTGTGTACGGGGTTTTTCGGTTCTGTTAAAGACGTGGGGGGTTGTACTGTGGATTGGCTGATGGCGCCCCCCCCCACCACCAAGCGCTCGGAGGGGGAATAATATGGTTTAAAAATGCCACCGAGGGGCGGTGATAGTGAGTGTGTCTTCTTCCTCCTGTTCTCATCCACTGTCTGCCCCTCTCCTACTCTACAGTGGCAGGGAGCCTGTCAAGGAGGTCTGGTGAGATCCGGCTCCCCTGTCCTGCCCCCCCCCCCCCCCCCCCCCGCCCGCCGACGGCGCCCCCCCCCCCCCCCACACACCCACACCACACCACTCACCTGCTGCATCTTCATCCAGTTTTGGGCCGTGACGTGGACGTCTCTCCACCACGAGACGCTCCGACTCCGGCGTGCGTTCTGCAGCTTCAGCGTTCCCGCTGAGCCGCGGCCGTCAGCGAGCTCAGCTGTGATTGGTCGAGAGCTGACTGTCATTTTACAAAAAAAACCAAAAGAAGGCCTCCCTCAGCCTCTGCCCATCATAGCAGCACACCAGCACCGTGCCCCCCCCCCCCCCCCCCCCCCCCCCCCCCCCCCCCCCCCCCCCGTCCCCCCCGGCCGCATGCCCCCCCGCCCCCCCAACCCCCCCCCCCACCCGCCCTCAGCATGGCGCCGGCAGCTGCTCGCTCCACCCGGCGGCGCTAAAGACTCGGGTTGAATTAGATGTGCTGCTTTTGATTTGCCCCTTCGGGTCGGGGGGATGGGGGGGGGCGAGTAGACGCCCCCTCCCCGTGTGAGTGTGCGCATGGCCTCATGGATCTGAGCATGTGCGAGCGACGCGGCATGCGGTGAGGTTTGACTCCCCCCCCCCCCCCCCCCCCCGTTCCCCCCCGCGTGCCGCCCCGGCCCCCCCGCGCCAACCGGAGGTCCGAAGAGGCCCCGCCCCCCAGCCGGCCGCTCACCTGCCCCTGTCCACCCCCCCCCGCCCCCCCGCCCCCCCCTGCAGGAACTGCGGTAACGTCTTCTGCGCCAGCTGCTGCGACCAGAAGATCCCCGTGCCAAGCCAGCAGCTGTTCGAGCCCAGCCGCGTGTGCCGGAGCTGCTACAGCAGCCTGCAGCTGGGCCCCGCCCCCCTGGACCGCCAGCTGGACAAGCCCATCGCCGCCAGCTCCAACTGACCCCCCCGCAGCTGGCCGAGGGAGCCCCCAGAATGTGCTGTGTGAGTGAGCGTGCGTGTGTGTGTGTGTGTGCGTGTGAGTGTGTGCGCTGCAGGTTGACTTTATTATGTGTATATACAGAGGACGCAATGCCAAGCGCTCTGTGTGTGTGTGTGAGGTCAGAGGAGTGAGAATGGACATCCTGGGCGTCTCTGAGAGCTCCAATATCTGTCTGGGGGGGGGGGGGCAAACACCCCCAGAGGTGGGAAACCCAAAGGGTCACTCACCCCAGCAACCACAAACAGTCCAGCCCCTTTCAAAGCGACTTTTACTTTGGCTGAACGCTCATTTTATTCATTCAGTCAGTAAAAAGTCAGAGACGTGTGAACTTTGGCCTAAAATGGCTTTTTCAGAGAGACCAAAACCAACCAACCAACAAGAATGTTCCCCTTTTGGCACTTTTTAGGGCAGTTCTCCCACTTTTCTGATGAACCCGGGTGGCCACTTCAGCTCAGCGGGTGAACTGGACCTTTGGCTGACCACATCTGTTTGCCTTTGGGGCAGATGTGCGAGCGAAGGCGTGTCGTGCTCTCTGAACCCCGACTCGGGCCTTACAGGTCGGGGCTCAGGCTGACGGCCGTTTCTCAGCCCTCTGGTGGAAATCTGAAGCAGAGGTATGAGACTTAACCCCGATTGGCTGAATCTGCGTTTTGAGCTCGGCCAGCGAGACGCCCGCCCATTCAGTGACCTCCTCGCACACACAACGACACCTTCTCCCTCTTTTTGTAAGATAAATGAATGAAATAATATATTCAGATATCTATATAGCATTTACGAAAAGTGTATAGAATCCTTAAATAGTGGCTCACTTAATTAGTCACCAAATTTTTAAACTTTTCTTTGTTTTCTCATGTTGATAATTGCAGAAAAAACCTATTTTGCAGCCCGTTTGAGACGTCGGGCGTCTAGTTGAGTTTTTTTTTTTTCCTTTTGTTTTGTTTTTTAAACTGAGAAGCAGGTTGTCCTGTTCTGATGCTGCAGTGGTTTTCCCTTTGAAATGCGATCATTACTTTGAGTTTATTTATTGAGGTTTTGTCGTTAAATCGCTGTTTAAAAGAGAAGATAAAAAAAAAAAAAGAAATCCATTGCCACAGGATAATCAGTGTTCAGGAGACGAGGGGAGGAGCGGGTGGTTTTGGGTCTGGTCTCAGCCAATCAGAGCGGGACCAGCGGAGGCAGGGATTTCTCAGTCATCAGGAGAAGGGATGGAGGCCCAAACAAGCAGCCTGAACCCAAAAATGACCCCCCGCCTCCCCCCTTTGTTCTCCTTTATTTCTAACACAATAAACAATCTACAACACTACCTCTGATTTATACCCACATCCATTCATAACCGCTCACCATTTTTAAAAAAAAAAGGCCTTCGTTTAGGACATTTGTCTCTCTTTAAAGGTACGACGTGTTTGATGAGACTGCCAATCTCCCCTTAGTGGTTTAGGTGAACCGCTCCTGCTCCGTTTGAGGGCTTTGAGTGTTTGCTGAGAGGCGGGGGGGTTTCATCTGGTGACCGTAAAACAAACGCACCTTTTTTCTGGGCCCCCGGGGGGGCATGGATGCTGTCATTTCTTTGGACTAAAAACCCCCGGACGGGCTTCACAAAGCCCACTTTTTATTTGCTTTTAGTTTGCAAACCAGAAGCTGTTTTGGGTCAGATTTTCAGGCTGGTTGTCTAAAAAATAATCCACGAATGTGAATTATTGAAATCCAATTAAAGTAGAAAAAAAGAGGAAGAGAAAAAAAAGAGGCTGTTTTTTGCACATTAAGTAGACACTGCCACGCGGCGCGTTCACGTAAATCTGCGAGTCTTAGCTGCGCGTGCACGCTTTCCCTCCCACGTGGCACCTGTTGGCACGCGCGTCGCCGTGCTTCTGTTTTCCTTTTTCCTCCCCGACACGTGTTGCGTTTTCTCTCCCGCTCCGCGCGCGCTGACGTCACTGCCGCCGGGCCCAGGAACAGGCTCGACGCGTGTGCGTGCGTTTGCGCGTGCGTGCCTGAGTGGCTTTCTGGTGGAGACTGGTGCCAAGCAGTTTTCTTACGGGTCTCTCGCAAAGGGATCGGTATGTTTGTGTTGTCCCCCCCCCCTCTGCTCGGTAAGCACTTTGAACTTTGAACTTCTGGCTGTCGGTCGGAGGCGCGTGGAGCTGTACATAGATAGCCACTTCCTGTAACAAGTGCTCCTTGTTCAGTCTGAATATTTTGTTTTGTTGGATTTACTTTACAGAGCATTACGTTGTTGTAGAATTCAAAGGAGAAATAAACTAGTCGAACCTACTGTGTTTTTTTCTTGTCTTTTTCTTTTTTTTTCTGGCCAGTAAACTGATCTGAAGCCCTCACAGAACAGGTAAAAAATCTCTTTGGGTTTAACTTGGACTTCTTGTATGAAGGCCTTAAACTGACAGGTCAAAATAAAACTTTGTGAATGGACTAATGCGCGAGCCCTGCACGCTCCTTTATGTCCTTTTGATTGACAGGTAGCCGAGATCTGTGGAAATAAAAGGAAGTGAAAGTAAAATGGAATTCATAATTATTATTTTTGGGAAGATAAAGAGCTTATGAATATCTCTAAGTGGCTGCTAGAAATATTCATATATCACCAACAAATCTATTTGGAATGTCGACATGTATCTGATCTATAAAGGCTGCAGAAATTCCTGAAAATGACAGCAATTCTGTGAAAGTTTAGAATAAAGGAAAGGGAAAAAAGGATTTGGGCTCAGAAAGGAGCCAAAGGGGTTAAATCTGGATGTTTGTGAGCTCAAAGGCTCCATTTTGGTATCAGAGCTTGATGAAAATGGTCCAGATTTTAAGTGGCAGCTACGGAGCTGCTGACAGAGGATTTCCCGTCTGGGTCTGAGCGGTTTAAAGAAGCAGAACCAGGTTTTTATGGGAGAGAAAATCAGTTTTCTGACCGGTTATGTGGCTGGACCCGCAAACGGCCCGGCAGCCAGGAAACACACACACACAGAACAAACCGGACACTTGGATCATGTTTAATGCATGTTCTGGTACACATCTCTAAAAATCAAGAAAAAACCTTAAAGTTACTTTGAACATCGACGTCTACTTATTGAGCTCAAATTCAAGTGAATACGTGACAGGAAAAAAAGAACAACCAAGAGAGAGAGAGAGAGAATCTAGCTGGAGAAGCGGCGGGTGCGGCTGGAGGCAGCTCATGCTCGCTGACGGCTCCGCTCGGCCCGGACGGGACTGGACTTCATATCACTGCACAGCAACGGGACAGCGGCAGCGGCGGACCAAGAAGAAGCATCTCGCTTCATCCTGCGGGAAGGCGGGGCTTGACATCAAGCCCCGCCCATATCAAGCCCCGCCCACATCAGGGACAGACACATAGTCACATCGTCTGTTCAGGCCATCGAATTTTTTTTTATTGTTATTGTTAGATTTTTGTGAAGCTTGGGGCAGGTACAATTTTTATTTTATTATTTTTATCGTTAAAAAAGTATATATATATATATATATAT